AGGTGTAAGACGGCGATTTTTGGAGATAGCACCGCGTTGTGGAGGAATACCACGGGCGCGACGCGTAACCGTCTTTCTGGGCACATCGTATAGTTTCTCAACGCCTCGGAAGGATGTAATTTGGCCGGTCTTGTAGGCTTGAACGCCTAGAATAACTCTGCCTTCTTGAAAGATGGCTTCTTGTTGTTGTGGTGCTGCCATTGGGGTGGTTGTTGGACGACGCGTCGCGTGTTGAGTTGGGTGGGCCACTAGCTTGTGCGGGCCACTAACTTGTGGATTACGTTAGCTTTGATGGCAAGCTTATTAATGCAGTTCTTGCCTCAGGCCTCCACGGCTGATGCCTTGGTCTGCGACACGCCAATCGGTACCTCCAACGGAAGCGATCACCAATACCGGCCAGCGCCGTACGTTTCAAATAATCATTACGGTGTAATTTACTTTTTGGAAATCAAGTAAGTTAAGCCCCGCACTACGGTAACTAAGGTTTAAGAAGTTACGATTCGATCGGTGACGCTCTGGGCCTGCTGCCTAGTGTAGCTCATCGCTTACATCCTTCGTTATCACCATCACCGTTTGCAGAATGGATCCCGCCAGTGCCGCGCTTTGTGAAGGCCTTGGTCCCATGGAGCCTAGCACATATGCCGCCCTACTGAAATCCAGTGAGTGGTACTGCGCACACGAACGAGCCTCAGCTAACACTTCAAAGAGTCCCTTCCCAACCTTCCTCACGAGTTACTCCTTTCGATAAGCGACCTGCTAGTGCGATTCCGTTATATCAATGCCTTGGCCCAAACGAACAAACGACTGTACTGGCATCTCAACAACTACTTATACTCCCTTGACGTGCACGTAACAGGAGGTTCGGCATTGATATGGGCTGCACAACGTGGATTGAGGCGAACGGCTTGGCTATCACTCGCTGAAGGCGCAGATATTGAAGCATCAAACGTGGTGACGATACCACGTCAGCTTGGATGTTTAAGCTTCGATTCTATGTCGACTTGCCTGACACCACTTCAAACTGCTCTATGCTACGGATCCGATTCTGTCGCAAGGTTTCTAATCAATCACGGCGCTATCTCTTCGTCGTCCTATCCTCCTGAATTGTGCAGCTGCACAAATCTCCACATGGCGGCCGCAATGGGACTTACATCTGCTCTAAAAATCTTAATCGATCAGGGCATGGATGTTGGAGCTCGCGACGGGCGGCTTCAAACACCATTACACTACACCGCTACAGTCCAACACCGGAACTCGCTAGACCAAGCACGGGTGGTGATGTTGCTCTTGTTAAACAATGCAGATCCTATAACAGAAGATTCACAGGGAACGCGCCCGGTTTCTATCGGGAAAAAGCGCTCTAACCCAGTCGTCAAAATGCTATCGGAGAAAGGTGCGGCAGTCAAGGCATATGAGATTTCGTTGCAAGATCGAGAGCTGTTCGGAATGTGGCGCATGTCGAAGGAAAGACGTGAAGAGGCAGCGTGGCTAGAGGAAAAGAAAGAAAAGCAACTTGCTATCGAACGTGCGAAACGAGAGCGAGACCAGGACAATAAGAAGAAAAGAGTTGCGGCAGAACAGAGAAGAGCCATAGCGAAATCTCGGGAGCGAGAAGAGATGACAAGAAGAAAAGGAGCTCAGAAAGTAATCCAGACATATGCAAAGGAAAGGGCCGACCAAACTGCCGCTGCGCAGAAAGTAGTCAAAGAGGAGGCAAGAATTGAGAAGGCTCGGTCAGAGAGACAAGGTGCTGTAAAGGAGGCTTGGTCTAGGATGAGAAAGGAAGCTGACCAGAGAGGTCGAGTGACGACTAAACCAGATCTGCTAACAAAGGCTGACTGCAACCATCCTTCAGGTCTGTGGAAGTGTAGGGTGCGCAAAACCTGTCAATCTTGCGAGATATCTGCGAAATGGCTGTCCTTGTGCACAGATTGCGGATTCGTAATATGTATGCGGTGTAATTTAGGAAAGGCATAGGCATGAACTTATCTCTTTGTACTCGTCCACATTATAGTTCGAATCCGCAGCGCTTCCATACCCTAATTGACATGTTGTGCAAAACAAATACAAAGGCTTCTTAACATAACAGGCGCAATAGATCTCGGCTATAGTGGTAGAGTATTTCTGTGCCGTAACGTGTCTCAAGGCTATAGATCCGACAACGCAGTATTGAGCTTTCTATATTGAAGAAGGCGGGCTGGCAGGACAATGTTTTCCTGCACATAGGGTATTGTTTCCAGGTTGCAGAGAGAAGCAGTTCTGTGCCGTAACGCTTGAGAAGTATTGGAGATAACTTGAATTGGACGCATGCGAGCTGCTGGCGGTTGGCAATTGTGAGGTCTGGAAACTGGGCAAGGTTAGACTTTGAAGTAGATACTGTAACTTAATGAGTTTTATTCAACTTACCGTTCTGAAGTCCAGAAACCATACGCCAAGACCTGCCAAGGCGATGAGTGTCCCATTTCGGGCCTAGCTGTTCATTGACGGCCGTCTAGCCGTCTAATGAAGTAATTAACACTTCCTGCTCCCCCGATCCCTCTATGGAATAGGGATAGTAAAAAATATATTGAGATGAATAGTGAAGAGAACGTCTAGGCTGTACGAAGTTTGAGACGCGTGATACGACCTGAAGAATGCCTAAAGCAGAAGGAATCGCAGCTAAGTTAGTTAAGATATATGCTCGATTCCAGTCTAACTGTAGTGACCACTAGACACATCTCGTTCTCGCCCGCCCCACCCCCACCTGCCCGATGAATGAAGCGAGAGATGAATGTGCGATCGAGAACCTCCGCGGATCAATACCGACGTTTCTAGCGGCGCCGAACACAGCCATGGACCCGCTACTTGGTACTAGCCCCTTCTGGCAATTAGTTGGCCGTTACTATTGAGCTAGTCCAATATGAGATTAGCGGGGGCTTCCCAAGATAAATTCTCTCTGCGGACGCCCCCTAAGAGGATTTATGATGATGATGGTGATGACCAAAAGGCGCCAAGTGTGCAAGAAACGTGCGCGCAAGATGGATCGTGTGACTTAACGGATCGTGCAAACAGGCGGATCGTGCAAGCTAGCGCATCGTGGAAGCTAAATTAGTGCAATCGAACTCCTTGGAGTAACTAACGCATGGCACACGTGACTGCCATTTTCAAACTCCTGGAGTTCGCAAATGACACTGCTGACTCGTGGTCCTGCCATTTCGTCCTGGGACGCTGACACGGTACACTGTCCGCCCCCACTCCGCTGCGCCTTTCGCTTAACTAGATCCCGCTGCAGGGGGCCCCCTGCGGGATACCGACCACCGCGCCAAAGCCTACGTCAACTCCTGTACGTGTACCAGCAACACCACCTCTAGCCCCGCCAGCAGCCCCGAAGGGACGTATGAGGAAACACAGTGCGAAGATGCTAGAGGCCCAGCAGTCGCCGAAGACACGGACAAGAACACTGCAGTCAGTGCAGAACATACCCGGAGCAACTGAATCGCAAACGACACAAAACGAGGCGTATCCACCTCCCCCCTAGGCGAGGTCGTAGAGCTGATCGCAAGTCTAAGAGAGACCACAGTACAGAGCAGCATCATCAAGAGCATTAGTACCGACCTCGTAGCGGTTACAGAAGGACGGCTGGTAGGAGGGACGCGGATATGTCCAGAGTGAATATTGTTAGAGACGAGACAGATCAGATGGAACAGGCGGGTAAGAGCATATTGGATCGAACCAATTCCAGAGCGCACATCGGAGAGAATGTATGGGTCGGCTTTATGGCAGGGAGAGCTAACAGATTGCTTTTCCGCCGTGGGACAGGACTTTTAAGATGTCCTCAAGAAGCTTTACTACGCTTTCCAATCACGTTCATTATCTACACTCGCTCTACGTTTCTCTTACTCCCGAGCGACGTTGATACGTGAGGACGCTGATACAATCAGAGCTGATCGACTTGGTTTCTCACACAAACTACTTATCTCTACAGCAACTCCGCGTGTCTTAATTGGTTGCAAGTACCTGCAGGTCATCGAACTTGAGCGAATCCAACTCCATTGCCCAATTTCGGGCTTTCTGCAGCTCTGATTGGTTATCATAGTGCTACCTACTTGTCTGCCCAGATGGCTTCAAAACACGGGTATCCCGACTATCATTCTATTCCATACATAGAGAGGGTGAATCGAAACAGGCCAATCTTCTTGGATCTAGTCAATACAGAGCGCGAATCTAGTTTCCGGAAGATTCTGCGCTGGCGCGGCATATCCGTTTGCCTGCAGCGTGCTACGCCTCTTTTAGGCACACCGCCACCGTCCTAGGATCTCTACTTTACACCGCACATTCCCCAACCCTTTCAGCTTCCATAATCCGTCTGATGATGGCTTCCACGATGGTGCCCACGGATAGAGAGCTCAGATACGTGATTGATCACGTCTTCCTGCCACCCCAAGTCCACGAAGAGAAAGATGACTTCGAAGTCGGCAGGAGCAACACTCTTCTTTCTATGTTTTTAGAGAGTCTAAAATCTTACCACGTATTGCTACCGGTCGCAATGTCCCCGATCTGGAAGGCGTGCGTCGATATGATCCAGACAATGTACGACCTGCAAGGCTCCTCTCTTACCCTAGACAAAAAGGGCCTTCTCGCCAAGTTTGACGCGTTGGGTGACGGAGGTAAGCTCAAATTAAAATGCTCAAAGTGCAAATGGTAGCTGATTAGGCCCAGATACTATCGCACTGCATATCCGAGCACAGAACGCAGCCCTACTCGTCCACCAATACGACCACGATACTACATTCGAAACCTTCGAGCTTTCTCCAACTGCTGGAGGGGTTATGGCCTGCAAGTCGCGTCTACGTCGCTCGTTCCCAGGGCCCGCTATACACATCGCCAATGCTGTTTTCGAGGATGCAGCATTCCGTGAGCCGCTGGCGGAAATGCTCGTGAAGCTGGATTTAGAGACGCCCACTGAGGTGGCCCGGACTACCACGACAACCAAGTCTGATTCTACGGTCTCAGAGAGTCGCCAAGCCACTGATCCAATGATGGTAACCGGCCTTCTTACAGGCGCTTTGCGTGCTGCCGGCATGCCAGCCTATAACGTGGTCCGCATTGAGAAGAACACGCGCGACGATGTTCTCTGGAAAAAGGCAAAGAACCCATGGCGACGATCGTCACTGTGGCTTCTGCTTCGCGTCGCCGTTGAGACAACGTTAGCCCGGACTGGTATACATGAAGGAGCTCGCCATTACAAGTCGTTTATGATTTTCTTCTTGAGTCAGGTTCTACAGTCCGCTCTCGATGAATCAAGCGGCGTTCCGAGCGACTTGCTCTTTGTCATGAAAGCAAAGATCAGCCGGCGCATGTTGAAATTGGGTCGGACGCCCTCCATACCTAAGGTTGACGAAATTCTCCGCTCGACTCGAGAGAGGCTGAACAGCACCTGGGACAAGCTGCAGAACGACAAGGACCCGTATCATATCTGGAAGTCGTGGGATATGTTCCAATCAACCATATCGTTTTCCGAAGACACAAAACTTGAGCTCAAAACTTTCCGCCGATACCTGGAATCCCTTCGCGTCCGAAACCTATCTGCCGCTACCGAGGAAGCATTTCAGCCTGAACATTTGAGTCGCATTCACTTGTGCCACATAACGCTCCCTATCCTAGACGACCTTCTCTTTGTCGGATCCCACCAGAAGCAGGTTCTGCTCACTGATTTCGAATCCTGGGTCGATGCTTGCCTTTCCGGATGGCTAGAAAACAACATCCATCGCTCAGACACGACGGCCGAGCTCGCAGACTTACTAAAGCAGTATCCGGAAATAGCGCTACAGGTATACGAAGGCAACCCTGTGCTGTTATCCACGATGTTTCTCACAGCTATGGAACTTTGGGTCGCAATGGACAAGTCCACCATCACTCAGTATTCTCTCGTCGCTGGCTATTACCCGGGCTTCCCATCCGGATTCTTAGAACCACTTAATTTACCTTCGAAGCGACAACTGGCCCGACTGTCTTCAGTAGAAAAGTACATGAAATCTCGGGACACTTCAACCAACCTGGGGACCCGCGTCCACTTCTTGTCGTCCGGATTTAATAGCCTTCCAGTGCGCTATTACGACAGCCCGACGAATTACAAACACAGACAACTGCGGCAGCGCATAGAGGATGAGGCGACACAGGATCGACAGGAAAAGCGGAACGAATTCATCCGGATGAAAGCCGAGTACGATGATCTTTCAAACCAGGTCGCCAACATGGGTTGCAATGATTCGACATCTCAGAAAGGTGGACGTTGGCGCATAAAACACAAGAAGAAGAAGTGCAAGAAGTGCCAAATGGAAACAAGTATGAAATCAATGAAGATCGATATTCACGAGTGGCCGTTACCTTCCGATAACGTACAGGCCAAACTGGTGGTATTCGAGTTGGACGTCCCAGAAGAAATCCGACAATGGAGAGACGCCACATATCGGCTGCAAGCTGAACTTCTTGCTAAGCAGGCCTCTGTCTCTGAACAACAGCTCTATTGGCTGCGAAACTATGATGATCTGCGCAATCATCAGAAGCCCACGCTAGGAAGATTGCAGCTAGGATCACACGCGAAATCTTTCACAGTCGCGCACTACAGGTCAGTGCCCATCTCGACCGCCACCGAGGAAGACGTATTGGTAAACCATGGCATGAAATATGATATACGGGATTGGGAACGAGAGCGAACAGCAAGCCATTGTATCGGCGATTTCAACATTCGCGCTGCGTGCACTTTCAAACTCCCAAGCGGACCTTACAGCCAGCTTCAAGACACAATCGCCAACACAACTCATACTTCAAATGAAATTATAGCTCGCCAATCGGAATGTTCCCCCGCAATGACCCTACACGAATTCTATGCGTTTGGTGCTCTACGTGCAGGCCATCGCCTTCAGTGGATCAACATGGCGAGGGAGCTGACCGAGAATGTATTGCCTTTCAGCCAATACGAGGTGTGTGCTTTGTTCCTCCAAGCTTCTCTACAGGCTGGGCCTGCCGGGAAATCTCCAATTCTTCGAGAATCCCACGAGTTATTGGAACAAAAGCATATTAGCCTAGAGCTACTCACCGCACTTGAAGAAGGTCTCTCGGGCGTAGAAGCAAACTGGCAAGGCGCGATAGCAACCCGCTTGTTCACCGTTCTTGCGTCTCGTGTTCTGTCCCTTACGGTCCACGAGGATGTGAAGAAGGAATGTCGTCTCTTTTTATGCCGAATCCGCAAGATTGTCCTGGGCTGGACAAGAGAGCTTCAAGGACAACTCCAAGCTAGTACCGAAGAAGGCGAACGTACTAATCTCCGATCTAGGTGTTTAGAAGTTTCATTAATCGGCTATTTGACTTTCGGAGCCAATAACGAATATGTTCCGTCGCTGCTCACAGACCAGTCAGACGTTTCCGATGCCGTTGAATTTATGGTTTCGATCCGCGATAACTGTCCCACGGTGGAGAAAGACGTCAAGGCTCCGCTTCGTCAATTACTACAGGAGTCGACTGTCCTGTTTCTTCGGCTCGAAGATCGGATCCGGGGCCTGGTCCATGCAGACAGTTCAGGTCTCGACCAAGGCGTTACGCAAATCTGGAAAGACTACCGGCCTTGCGTAGAATGGGCCGCTCTTCCAGCTCCGAATCAGCATTGGCTTACCACAAAGACACGATCTACGCCAACCCAGAGCTTCGCCACCGTCCACCTGAACATTTTAACCGGCCAATTGCTTCTCAAAGGGAAGCCGGTGTCAAGACTCCCTTCGTACTACGAATCTCACGATACTTTTCAGCGGCTCTTTGGCGCTAAAATCCTTGATGTTGTTCCCTCCACCTCAGAAGGAATGGAATTTGCGGTGCGCAAGCAAATTGAAGGTCACCAGGTTCATTTCAGAATGGTCCAATCTGAGATCATTGTTCGTGCAACTGACGAATACGGCCAAGAGTTGGAGCTAGTTCCGACACATGCTCTGGAGGGGGATTTTCCTATCGCGTTTATTGAAGATTTCCACCACTGGCGGAACGTGGTCACTGGTGTTGTGGAGTGGCATCGACTTTCATCACCATGGCTTCGAGAGCCACACCCGTGGCATCTCATTCCCGATGGCCACAACGTGTACCGGTTGCGACAAGGATGTACAGCTCTCATAGACCCCGAAAGCCCCACAGGTCGCAGCCTGTCCTCCTTGCTCCATCCTCTGGAACACAAAGCTCACCTTCATGCAATCCTAGATACGCACACGAAGGAGGTTGCTGCCCACCTCCCGCGGCTGAATTTAGACTTCGCTCTGGGGCCTGACATGTCCAATTTGAAGTCTAAGCAATTTCGGGGACTGGTAGTAGACCGAAATCAGGCCATTGGAACATTGACTGGGCTTAGATCAAAACTTGTTCTCAGCACGCCTGGTGGTACTGGTGGCAGTAACGAGCGATGCGTGATTGTACCTTTCGGAAACGTCGAATTCGCCCGTAGCGGTCATCATGTCAACGTCAGCATCGAGACTGGGACTACACACCAGGTCGGGTACTACGTATACGATTTGGACCGTAATCTGAGAAAGCTGACCGGCAACACTACTTTGAGGGGCAACCTCTTAAAGACTTATCTTCACGCCGTGACTGCTCACTGTCTGCCGGACGAATTGACAGCGAGGACCGGCACGGAGGAGGCTCTTCACTGCATCCGAAGCGTATCTATGAGATCCTTTGAAAATCCCTCGAACGATGAACTTGAGCTTTTCAATATCATCTCTAGTCTAACGCCACGCCGTAACTTTTACCCGGCCGGTAAGAAGTTGATGCAGACAGTAGATTGGTCCGATCTGCCGCCGCTTTCGCAACACAATGGGTTCGTTACAGAGATTGACAATATCCTTCGGCACTATGCGAAGCTCAGCTTCTTTCGCGGTGATTTGGCAGAGGCGGCTGTCAAAAATATGACGGACGATGAGAAGTTCCTTCTGGAGAGAGCCACTCTCCGCGATGCTATATATCGCCTTGATGGCTTTGGGGCGGAGACTTATACTACATATCACGACGTCGAATATAATGCTCGTGATCGCTGTTTCAGAAGCGAAGGGGAGCTCCGATCATATACCGCTGCGAGGCTGGCATGTAGCTGGGCCGTCTCCTTGAACTGTGGGTTCAACATACAAGCGTACTTGGAAGGCTTCGGGAATACTCCCATCAACGGCGTCACTGGCCCCTCACACCCGAAAGCTGATATGATTCAGCAGTTGGGGTATGATCAGTTCTGGCTCAAGGAAGGCAAGGAGTTCCTACCTGAGCTTTGGTGCGCACTGCAGTATCGCTTGTCTTCAGCGGATCAGTCAAAAGACAAATATCGGATCAGCTTCTTTCTCGCAACACTAGTTTTCTGCGGTCACAACAACGAGGATCTCGTAAAGACGCTTCTAGCGTTCGCTACTATCCCTCAGCTCCGCCATATGCGGTCTCCGATTTACGACACGTTCAAGCTAAAGGAGTATGGTTACGCACCCCAAAACATGGACCTTTTCAAAATCGCTAAACAGCATGCCAAAGGTTGGGATGATTCCCCAGAGTCGCGTCTTCCTGACCTACTCAATGAGTCCAGCTTGACCTCCTGGAATCGCCGCAACGACCAATACAAGAAAGCTTTCAGTTTGCACGCCCAGGAATTTGCCGACGCGCTCATGCCGCAATGGAGAGTACCATTTGGCGATAATCACCCACTTTTACACCCTAGAAATGCCGTCGCCACATACATCGCCACTGATGCGATCTGGGATGTCCAGACAAGGTTTTGTGAATGTGCTCGGAATGCGGAACTGTTGAACTACGTCGACAAGGCGCAATTTACATTGAACAATCTGAACCGAACAATCTCCGTGCCAGATTTGTACTTGTTTCCATCCCGGGCGTCCAGAAAGCCTCGAAGAAAGGGTTCCATGCGATACCTCGATGTATTCCAGGTAATAGCACCAACATTAAAGAGCCTGCCGAAGACCGGAATCTCCAGTCATTTCCTGAAAACTAAGGTCCAAACCAAGGTCCAGGATCAAAAACACCACATGGAGGCCCTGCTAAGTCGCCTTAGCTCCAAGCCCAAGGATGGATTTGAGAGAGAGTATGCCAAAGACTTGCAGCGAAGCTACGAATCACTCGATGCTTCCGACGCCCTCCCAGAACTTTCCGGCTCGAAGGAACACTTAGAGGCGGCAATTGGAGACTACCTGAAGTCGTGCAACCAGCGCGTTGAGCACATTTATAATCAGATCTGCGAGGCAATGCAAACTGGAAGCACCTACATGACGGCCCCAAGTGTATGGACCGACCTCGCACCACGACTCTCGCCCTTGTCCTTATTGCAGCACCTGTCATACCCCAAGCGAGAAAGCTTGGATATCAAGTGGAAGAAAGTCTTGATCCAGTACGGCTTAGCAATTACTGACCTTCAACGAGCCCAGCGCCTTGTTAGAGTATTCAAAGGCTATGTTCGAAATCCAGTGGATCTTCAGAAAGAGCTTGCCAACCCAGGTCACGAGAATTGGGACCCGAACACACTTCCAGATTGGCTACTTCTGGAGCTTGAGGGCAATCTTCTAGTTCGTCCAGTACAAGCTCGAATCGCAATGGCAATGATTGAACCATCATCCCATTTGAACTCAATCCTGCAGCTCAACATGGGTGAAGGAAAATCGTCTGTAATCGTACCAATCGTTGCGGCGTTTCTCGCCGACACACAAAAACTGGCGCGGGTGGTTGTGCTAAAGCCATTGGCTCCACAAATGCTCAATACGCTGATTTCAAAATGCAGTGGGTTGCTTGCTCGACCTATTTACTACATGCCTTTCTCTCGATCACTTCGGGTATCGACCGAACAAGCCGCCCAGATTCGCGAGTTGTACCAAGAATGTATGCGCATGGGCGGCATTCTTCTCTCACAGCCTGAACACCTCTTGTCATTTGAGCTCATGGGTTACGAGAGCATTCTCTCCGAGCAGCTACGGGTGGGGCATGAGATGGTCAAGACTCAGCATTGGCTACACGACCATGCGCGGGACATCCTCGACGAGAGTGACGAAATCCTCAGTGTTATCTTCGAACTGATATACACAATAGGCACGCAACGTCAAATTGAATTTAGCTCCGGTCGATGGAACCTGATTCAGAGTACATTGGGACGAGTCTCTGAGCTTGCAGTCAAGATGCTTGACGAATTCCCTGAGGGCATCGAGGTGGAAGCAAAGAACGGACCCGGAAGCTTCCCCCACATTCGCATTCTTCAACCAGCAGCTGGGGAACATCTCCTCGAGGAACTCGCTCACGACATTTGTTTTAAAGGGCTTCCGACGAGTCTGCTAAAAGTTCGAAACCTGCCAAAGCACACCCGGAATCAGCTCATCAAACTCATTACAGATTTGAGGGTGTCGAAACAAGATATCGCGTCATTGCTCGAAATGAAAGCTGACAGCATGATTGACGAGTCGATGTGGAACACAATCCTAGTTCTGCGGGGCATTATTGCGTTAGGCGCTCTCAGCTTTGCGTTCAAGGAGAAGCGGTGGCGCGTTCATTACGGTCTTGATCAAACTCGGTCCCAGCTCGCAGTTCCATTCCGAGCGAAAGACATGCCGTCTGCGCGTGCGGAGTATAGTCACCCAGATTCGACTATTATATTGACTTGTTTGTCCTACTACTACAAAGGCCTTTCTAATGAGGAACTCCTGAACGCCTTCGGCGCGCTTTATCGCTGCGACAATGCGCAAGAGGAGTACGAAGCTTGGATCTGTAACGTCAAAGGCATACCTCTGGCATTTCAGCAGGTCAAAGGGATCAACCTGCAGGACGTGGAAGTGTTCAATATCAAAGTACTTCCGCATCTCCGTTTCGCGAAAGGAGTTATCGACTTTTATCTCTCACATCTGGTCTTCCCGCACGAAATTCGTGAGTTTCCTCAGAAGCTGTCTTCCTCCTGCTGGGACATCGCGCAGGCGAGAGTCCACCAAACTACTGGTTTCAGTGGAACGAACGACAGCAGGTACATCCTTCCACTATCAATCGAGCAGTCCGATCTCCCAGAGCAACTGCACACCAACGCGATGGTCATGGACTACCTTTTGGGCAGGGAAAACAAGTACCAGCAAATTCAAGCACAGCCAGGAATAGCCGTCAACGCTAACGTGCTCCTCGATAATGTCATCCACTTAAGCCCACCAGTACGCGTCATCCTTGATGTTGGTGCTCAAGTTCTTGATCTTGAAAACGAAGGAGTCGCGCGTCGATGGCTAGAGCTCACGAGTGGCCAACAAGAGGTGCAAGCTGTAGTATTCTTCAATGATGAGGACGTTCTTTGTGTCCTTGATCGGAACGAGACGCTGGAGCCTCTCAACGTTTCTCCGCTCTTACGCCAAATGGACCGATGCCTAGTGTATCTTGATCAAGCACATACGCGAGGTACAGACCTGAAGCTTCCCCTCAACTATAGAGCTGCCGTCACCCTAGGGCCGCTGCTGACAAAGGATCGATTCGTGCAAGCATGTATGCGCATGCGCAATCTGGGAAAAGGCCAATCCGTCGTCGCCGTTGCGTCGAAAGAAATCGAAAAGCAAATTCAACACTGTTCGAGCAAATCTTCAGGGAACCAGATAGCCATGGATGATGTTTTAGAGTGGTGCATTCAGAACACGTGCATGCAGACGCGAAAAGAGCTCCCGCTATGGGCTCACCAAGGATTGCGATATCAGAAGCAACAGTGTGCGTTGCACGAGAGCGTAAGTGGTTTAGAGGGTGTGTTGTCTTTAGAAGTCACAAAAATGCTTCTCGAGCCGGAAGCACAGAGTCTGGAAGAGCGGTACGGATTGGACTCGTCCAGATCACTTCACAGCATCATCACCGATTCCGATAGAGAGACGATGATGCATCGGATAGATCAGGTCAATGCGATCATCCAGAAGTGCATGAAGTACAACATCACATCACTGGCCGGGGCGACTTTGCAAGAAGAGCAAGAACGTGAGCTTTCCCCCGAGAACGAGCGAGAGCAGGAGGTAGAGCGACCGCGACCCATGGAACCATGCCGCCACACGATAGATCCTATCATCCGGAACTTTGTGAAAAGTGGGAACTTATCACCCTCAGGATGGGGAGGGGCGTACCAAGATGCCTTCGCCAGCTTGCGTTTCACCAGCGCTGGAGAGCACACCGGGATCGGCGAATGGCCGATGGATGATCTCCTAGTCACTCGCGACTTCGCGAAAACAGTCCAGATCCCAGACCATGAGACGTCCGATTTCTATATTCGGCCAGTGAACTGGATCCTAAGTCGCACCAATGCGCGCGGAGAAGGCACTTACCTGATCATCAGCCCGGCGGACGCAAATGAGCTGCTCCCATCAATCATGGACTATCGTCAAGTGACCCTACATACCTACTGTCCCCGCATCCGGCTCTCCATGCGCTCGTTCGAGGACCTCTCGTTTTGTGTCCTTCCTGCATTCTCTCCTCCGGCTCTCCTGCCACAGCTCATTCCCGTCCCAACTCTAGTCAATCTTTTCGCAGGCCAGCTCTACTTTCGAAGCTGGGATGAGTACGATCGAGTGCGTCTGTTCCTGGGCCTCTGCTACGAAACGCAACATGCGAGGAGTGATGGGTTTGTGATGCCGCCAAATAGGAGCATGGTGGCGCATTCGCTGAAGGACTGTCGCTTCGCCGTCTCGCCGATTGGATTCTTGAGGGCGCTGGTTGGCATCAGGCGAAAGGGACAAAGTTTCGAGAGGTCGCACATGGGTACCCTGCTACGAGGAGAGGAGATCAGTTCGGACGAGCTGGTGGAAGTGTAGATGGTAGGCTGGGATCGGTGAGGTGATAGGTTCAAGCAGTGACTATGGGAGGAAACACTGTCCGACCATGAGAGATGACCAGTCTGTCAGAGAACATCCTAGATTAGCTGTTTGATAGAACCGTTTCGTGACATTATCACAATCTACATCGGAACGCATTCAACTCGTGCTCAATGGCCTTTGCTTTGATTATCGTTGATCGCAACAGAATTGTCATGGCGATGACACGTGACGGACGACGCGCTGAGAGGGTCGACGCAAACGATGGCTGTAAAACGAGCGGCGAAAGTTCATCAGTTCTGGAAAGATTCGAGTGTGAAGTGGGGAGTTATGGAAGATGGAAAGGAAATGGAAAGGAAATAGAAGGATGGAAGGATGAAGACTGGGCGATCTTAAACCCCGTGCCAGAGCCAAGCCGGGGTATCGGCGGCGTATCGTTCATCGGCGAAAGAATCCACCGATGCATTTATCGTAATGGTCCAACATTCGTATTGGTCCCTGATATGATGCCAGGCTGTGGAACACGTGACTTGATGAAAATCCTGGATGAGGCTAAACATCGAGCCTGACGCATCGGAATGCTGCCTTGGAAGACAACACGACTAGACCAAAGCCAACAGAGGGAGATCGACAGCATCAGCTGACCAAGCTGCCGCTGGATCTAGCTGCATTCTCCGCAATCTGCCTTCCAAACAACATTGCTACGTCTAGCTCGTACACCAACGCGCTCGCTCACCGTCCCGTCCTCTACTCATCCAACGCCGACTCAAGCACCTCCTCCACACAATCTGGGAAATCCGAGGCTGGAACAGAATGGTGATAAGGTCGGACGCCAAGAAATTCCAAGGGTGCAGTCAAAAACAGAGGAGCGAGTTATAAAACTAGGCACCAGAAACGGGATCCGCAGCCGGGACCAGAACGGGACCCCGTTAAATCAAGCACAGCCAACCCCACATTATTTACAGTAACGGAATGGAAGTGCTCGGTTTCACCCACTGCGCTAACGGGCCCAAGAAAGCACAATGTTCGATGGACAGATTGAACCCCAAGCTACTATATATGCGAAACCGTGACACATTGGGCCCTTCGCTAAGCAATGTGGTACAGAGGTTGAAAGGACTTGAAAATCAGTGCGCCATTCCTCGCAAAATGGCGATCTGTTCACCAATACACACACTCGACCATGGAAAAGAAGATGTGCCAAAACTGAAGATGGAGAAGGGGCAAATACCTGCCACTCGTAGAACCGCACTCTAGTGCCGAGTTCTTTGTTAGATAGGATTGGTGGGCCGCTCTGAAATGAAGATGCCGAAGACCAGTGCGCTCGCCTGGAAAGCGTACACGGAGAAAGCTCTGCGCCAGCGCGCACCTACTTGATTAAGTAGGCACCTGGCAACCCGAGCCAGACACGTGAGACTGGCAGAACCTTACAAGCGAGGTGGCGCCCAAATCGTCCACGCTCATGGCAAGTCCTTCCGACTCGCTTTGACGCTTGGTAGACACGCTTGACAACTTAGGAGAACACCACATGACCAGTCGTCGGGAGGGCGCAGCTCTCTTGAACCGGAGTGCCTTGCTTATTGTAAGCTTCACCGGATCTTAGCGAAAACGCCGCCTTCTTATGTGAGATCGCGGAGACCGCTTTACAATAGCTGACTCCTATCGTTTTCCTCATGGAATTTACCCTCTTCAATGTAGGATGGCCAGCTAGTGATTATTCCTCGTTGGTTTTGTTCCTATTAAGATCGTCTCTTAGATCTGGTACTTCTCTATGTAATGTGATGAAATCAGCTTCGCTGGTCGGATCTAGGGAATCAACACATCGACGCGTCGATGCATCGTCCATGTGTTTTGGCCCCGCAAAACAATAGCTTATCTCCACTGCCACATCGCTTAAGTTCCTGGTTTAGTAAGTTACGATCGAAATCTGTCGTGTTGATGGCTACAGACTGCGCGTCCGCAGCGCCGGTTCCGTCCAGCCTTCACCGGCAAGCCAGCGCTGCGCCCCCTCCTCGAGAGGAAGTGTCGGTGTAGATGGTGTACATAAGTTGCCAGGAATTCCACAATGTGGAGTGATTCCACCCTCAACAAGCTAGCAATTTTTCTCCTATCTCTTCTATATTCGCACTTATATTACTCTCGCCAACCAGGTCTCTAGATAGATCAAGGAAATGTCCCAAGCCACTCAGCCCACGATATCCTCGCTCATGTTGGTGCCGCATTGGGATCCCATCGCAACCCTCAGCATTGACCTGAAACCGGACGGTCATTTTACCTGCTCGGGTGTTAAAAACGGAACAACAGACTCCTGCGGCTACCATCTTAGGGGGGAGAAAGCATCCAAGGTCAATCATTTGATAGACGACATCTCAATCTCATCGCCACAAAGCGCAACCCAGTCTCTAAGAGCTCTTGCCGACCTCACTCTATGCCCGAACCACGGGATCCAAGCTAGGGGCAAGGTGACAGAGTGGAGCGCAACAATCAACCGCCTATCACCACCCACACAATCGGGATCAAATATATCAAGCGCGCATACTCCTTCACCATCTCCTTCCCTTCAAACGGAAGTCACCCCTCAGTCCACTCCTGGCAGCAATAGCTCCCTCACTCGACCACAGCAAAGTGAGAATAGAAGCCCAAACCCGCATACCAGTGATGCAACAATGGTGGAGGAGGTCAGCCTTTTGCGGAAGGAGATTGAGCTCCTGACAGCGCGAATTGCTTCTCTAGAGGCGGGCCATGAAGAAACGGCGAAAGATACCTCTCAGCGGAAGGTATCGAACCGGTCGCTGGTGCGTTCAGGGTTACGATCGGCTTTTTTGGGCAGGAATTGATATCGGACCGCATGCTAGCTTTGAGCGGGGAGCATCCTCTCCTTGGGAAACTGAGTATCAAAGAATGGTTTGTGATGGACTGTATTCCCGAAACTGCAATCATGAAGACTATATCCATCTTGTAGAGGAAGGCGGTGAGAATTACTTAGTGGAATGAGCTTAGATTAGGATTGAAAAGTACTGTCCTAGTGCAGCACCCTCCATCTCCAACTCGAAAGTGCCAACGATCGGGTCAAGGGTGATGCAAGCTACACTCGTGTGGCTCACGACGACGGCTTCGCTTCCTGCTGACCGAGTACTATTCTGGTTTGGATATCATACGAATGGGATCAGCAACTGTAGCAGCACTATATGTCATGGCGCTAAAGCTTATCGCATGCAGAACTCATCCTTGATTCTAGGAAATCATAACTAAATAAAAAGGAATGTTATATGTTGCCAGATGCTATTCTGCTTACCCAAACGCTCCACACCTCGGAACTTTGTCCAACTTCTCCACAATGCAGTCCTTGAATTTTCCTTTGCCCCACTCCATTAACTGAGCTAGAAAACGCACGAACTCTCTCGCATCGCGTTCGCATGTAGTGCGCCACGACTGAAGAAACTCCATGTGAAATGCGCCTTCATGCTCGAAATGCACCCACAACTCGTGTACAGGGCCCTCTATCAGGATGGAGAAACAGAGCGGTGGAGTCGATTGCGGCGCCGACGACGTCGTGGATGGCGATGTGAGCTTCGGATCCAGCGTCTGGAATCCCAAGTCAGAATGCGAGCTCGCGCCACATGCCGCCTGATGACAGAGATCCTTCAGAATCGTGAGCATGGAAGCACCACTAATGGCGGCTTGGTTCTGCGCGCTAATCAGACTCCCATTCAGGCCCAAACCCTTCGCTTCTACAATTAAGAAGGGAAACCGTATACCCATGTCGGCCGCATGCGGATCGCTCAGTATTGACCCAGATGCCTGGTGATCAACTAACCGCCGCTGGTGCCGCTGTATGAACGCAGTGTGTGCGAGCCCAATTGTTATATCTGGTTTTGACGTGGATATGTGATATGGATCCGCAGCCTCAGTGCTGGTGGTCGACGCCACTGATTGTGTGTATGGTGGCAGGGACGGTATGGGCCCAGTAAAGGTAGCTGCAGCGGCGCTTGGATTGAAGTTGAGGAGGGTGGTTTGTCCTGATGCGGAGCGAGGCGTGCGCGTTCCGCTATCATCTTCATTTTGCAATTCGTCAAGCGATAAGCCAGTCGGCTTGAGATCAGAATTCCAGACTAGTTTATGAGGTAAGCATCTTGCCCACGAAGCTCTTGAGGATACCCAACAAGCTTACCCTTCTCAGACATGCGCGTCCTCAGCGTGCCCGGCGAAAGGTCCGCTAGGCTCCTTACAAGGCCGTTCAGGCTGGCCTTCCAATCGCCCTCAAGCAAGCACTCGCGCGCATTTCTTCGAGATTCAGCCGTGAACGTCGCTACTAGCCCGGCGAGACATGCAGCAGCTTGTGGTTCATCTACTGTATCCGCTACTCGGTCCTCCCACGACTCGATTCCCAGTATTCCTCGCACCTCGTCATCGATTGCGGGCGGAAGATCAGCCAGATTGTCCACGAAGACGCCAGCGTGGTACATATTCCGTGTACGGTACGTTTGTGGTGATGGTCTTTTGCTGGGACTGGGCGTTCGAGATCCGTGAGAGCGCGCATGCTGTTTCGCGCTGCGGCGCCCGCGATCGTTCAAGGATGCGCTTCGAGGCGTCGGAGGTGCTGCCATCATCTCTAGATCGCAGACAGCCGCACAGTTTTCCACCCAGTGCTGGACTAACGATTCATGTGCCTCGCGATTTGATTGTTGCGTTGATCGGAGCGCTTCTTCGGCTAGCGCAAGCGTCTGCGATGATGGATTCGATGGAGGTGGTGAGGATACGCGGGGTGCGCCGACGTCGGCAAGTTGCGTTTTGCGGCGCTTCGCACTACAAGTGCTGTGGCGAAAGGACTGCCAGCTATTGGAAGTTCGTCGCTTCATTGTATGGAAGATGGACACGTATGGAGAGCTATGGCTGAGATAGTACAGTTTTATGCTTGATTATGATGGTGTTGACGTTCGGCTGAGAAACCATAACAATCGGGAAAACCTCGGCACTCCGTCGCATGGCTGAAGGCTGTGCTTGTAACCTCTTGGAACCTCTTGGCGCCCACCGCACTCACAACCGCTCGATTGCGTGGGCCTCGATCCCATAATGTCGCGTAACGGCACGAATGGCCTTGTTCCGCCGGTGGATCTCTTCTTCCGGACTGAGTTTAGATGTTTCGTTGCATTTTAAGGGTACGTTTAAGTCAATCTCGTCGGTCGAGCAAGGAACGAACCGTACGATGGTCGTTCACTGATGCAGCTTGTTCTGGTGAGTCGTCGTGGCCGACGATCGATCGATCGTGTTGGTTATTTTTAGCGCGTTTCATTGTTGGCTCACAATCGCTAATACAGGTATACGCTCAGCATAAAGGAGAGAGCAAAATTGAGACGTGGGGCCGCGAAATAATTCATATCCTCACCTCCTCAAAATATCAAGTATGGTGTGTTTTTACCTTGATCAAGGCACTTCAGCCCCTTTCTTCGGCCAATAGTGCCGCTTCTTCCTACCATCATTCCGAGCCTTGGTAAAGTCCTGCCTCTCCAACGCACCAGCCTGAATCTTCCAGACAGGAATCGCCAACTCAATAAGCTTAGGACCAAACTCATCCAGCACTTTTTCCACAGCCTCCACGTCCATTTCAGGATCCTTTTCTCCTGTTCCTTCATCACCACCAAATGTCGCACGAGACCAACTCTTCCTCCACTTTTCCAGCGCAGCCTTTGCACTCTCAGCCTCTGGTTGTACGTTCTTAGCCACGAGGTAGAAAGTTGATCGAAGAGCGTGTTTCTTGTATGGTTTGAACAACTGGATATTTGCAAATGAGTTGAATTGGTGAAGTAGATGTACTACATCCCAGGCATCTGGTCTGCGAAGTAAGACAGCCATTGTCCCTCCCGGAATGATCCGCTGCATACTTAGGATGAGCTGAGATGTCGTCAGACGCATTCGTTCGAATTCTCGTCTGTGCTCAGATCGCTCATGACTCCTGAGAACGGCACCGCCGCAGAAAATGAGCTGAAAGCGTTGATCAACGAAGGGGCGTTCAGCGTGGAAGAGGGAGTGGTCTGGATGACACGTTGGAATGGTTCCGACGCCGAACTCACTCGCGAGCATGGTGATGTCCATGAACTTGACGTATTCGGCAGGTAATGTGAACCGGTTTTTGTAACCGCCAATTTCGGGAGGGAGAGTGATGCCATAGGCGATTGCGTTAGGGTTGTACTCCAAGGTGCCCCACGTGAAGCCGCCTGGTGCCATGCATAAGTCCAGGGACTGGAAGGGTTGAACACCAAGGTCTCCTGGGGTCAGAGCGCTTGTCTTCGCCTGCATTTCCTCTGCGATTTGCTTTGTCATATCGTAGAATGCTTGCGCTGCATCCTCTGTGGCTTTGTCCGATTGTTCACGTCGATTCTGCCAATAACTGTCTCCGTCTGGATTGTCCCAACCCTGAAATGGTATTAATAAGTGATCAAAATTGATGCACATCGCTGGTGCAACTACCTTCTTCCTAGCTGCCTCGAGCCGTATGAAAGTTGGACTGTTCATAGCCAGATATTCTGCTACAATTTTGTTTGGGCCAGTCGCGGGATCATAGATTTGAGGCCCGTTTGGTGTCGACAAACTAGGTATGTCTCGTTGTAGTTCTGACATGGCAACGTGCTAGAATCCGCCTGACGCTAAAGAGAAGAACCAGTGTGAAGAAAACAGGAGCCTGGAAGTATGTAGGCTTACATTTGATTCCAGTGCTGGCGCATCGCTTGGCGGGGGTGTTTTGGTGTTGCAGCCTTCACGTTTGAGGCGTTGCTCAGCCTCTCCGACACGTGGCACCATTCACATTGATCTCTGCTTTTTCTTCCTGATCTTATCCAAGCTATGAGAAGGTGCGAGTTTCGCCAGCGGGCGGCGCGAGTTTCGGTTTAATGCGCATGGAGAGTAAGGTGATGCCACAACTAGCTTTGTTACTAACTATGACAATGGCGGAGCTGATAGTATTGAATAAAGATGGCTGTTTCTGAGGACCGTCCTATCCAATGCCTAATTCAATATGTCCAATTCGTCTTCTGCCGCGAATGTTTGAGTTTAGCTAAAATAAGAGAGGGCTAAGTTAGCAAAACAGTTCTAGCGTGGATGCCCGTCTTCATCCTTTCCCCGCAAAGCCCTGCCTGGCGCCACCATTTTACGTCATTTCAGGATCACGTGTAATTTGAAATCTTGGAAGCGACATAATTAGTTCGTGATCGTCGAATGAATCTCGAATTTCGAATTTTGCCTTTCGCCATGCAGATTGAAACTCCTACAGTAATCCCGAAGCTTGTCTTCGAATACTGTACCGCCCAGTGGAGTCTCAAGAATTTGAGAATCGCGCACGACTGAAAATAGACAGGCCCAAAAAGAGGCCCATCTTTCAGGGTCAGGCTCAGTCCCACTCTTCGCGTTCGCTTCATGCCTCACTCGTTCCTTTCCCATCACCATCACCACAGTAAGCTAACATGGACAAGGCCAGTCTGGTACTGGCACAAGGCGTTCCTCCTGGCGTGCCTAAATCATTCCGTGCCCTAGCAGATCATAGCGATGTGCAGGGTGTATTGTATTTCATTTAGCACAATGGAAGACTGTCTGGCAAAAGCATTAATAGCCTCTGCCGTGGCCTAATCGCATGCAAAAGAAAAGCTAACTTAAGCCTAACTAGACTTCCTCGCAGTAGAGCACTGATGAGGTCTAAGTTACCCGAGGGTTGATCACGCTTGCTTTGTCTTGTTCGTTCGCCTCAGCTTTCCCCTGTCCTTCGCAAACTAGATTATAGCTCTGACTGCCTCGATGTTAGGCTTCCGGTCGAAAATGGTATCCTCGACTGCCCCTTTCAGCTGTGTTCTCCAAACAACTACTTCTCAAACTGCGCCGTGTTCCAAACTCTTCGGTACCATTTCCCTCGTCGTCTTACACTTCACAGTCCAAAGCTGCTATGCTCTGATGGCTTCAACGCAAGAGACTTCACCCTCTGCGTTTCGGGGCTATCCTCACCCTCACAGACAACCCTGGCCTTATACGCTCTCTCTGCGAACACGCTTGCCCGAGCCTGATCTCCATGCGTGATGCTGACTTGGAAAGCGTCGTGATAGAGCCTGGCACTGCTTGCCGTAGCACACCCGCCGTATTCCTCCTCCAGAACTTGAAGCAGCGAGTGGCAGTCCCTAAAACTTCCTTCGGGCTAACCATCATCCGAAATGGATCCCCAATGGTGTCGTCGAGGCCTTGAATCAGTATTCGGCGGGCGTTGCTGGCTTGGAGCCTTGAGAGGGGCTCGGGACTCGATTGAGTCTCGCAAGATCAAAAACGTTCACGAGCCCTCCTAGAAGGAGGAAGGAACAAGTGCACAGCTGGATGCTGGGATAAGCGGACCGTAACCGCCCTAGCTTCGAATACTACAATATCACGACTGCGGTACGGCGAGCTTTCGAAGAGCAAAATGATTCATTTTACCATCATCCTCGGACCGCCGCTCTTTTCTAAAGACCAGTTCATTACCCGGCTGGCCGCTTTTCTTGGATCACCATCAATTCATCCGCCTCTCTGCTACAACCCCGTCGCTACCAACCCTAGCGCTGTGCATATTCATCTTTATCCTTGGTTTGTGGGCCGATACCATTAGAGAGCAGGAGCTAATATACGTCCAAGGGGACCTCTTCATCCAGGCCTAACATAGTTAGTATGGTACTAGACATTTAGAATTAATATTTACCAAACGAGTCGAGGATGCCCTCAATCAATGTGTCGTCGATAATCTCTCCATTCCGCTGCCTCTCCATTAGCTGGGTCACAGCGTCCGCTACGCCCGCGTGAGTGGCAGCGTCTATTACCCCTTTCCATAGAACGAGATGTAGAGTATAGACGTCGTAAATGTCTTTTCTTCCCTGCTTGATTTCCTGCTTCACCCAGTGTCGGTTAAGATACCTGAACAAGTGGTTGTTCTGCTTGGCAGCGGTTATATATCGATCCTGTTCTTTAATGTAGAAATCGAGGAGAGCCCCTTTCGAATACCGTCTAGCTTCGTTCTGGATCATTTGGAGATGTGTTTCGAGTAATTGCTTCAGTCTCTCGTATAGTTCTTTTTCGAAAATGTGTGCTATGGGATGGTTATCAGATATCAAAGCCGCATCGAATGAATCGAATGACACACCTACTCTGCGATTACCGCGACTGCAGCCTTGCGTAGGGCTAGAGCCAACTGCTTTTCGTACTGTACAAAAGTTGTGTACGGCTGTGTAGAGTCCCATCCATGTTTTCATGTCCATTTCCCCCCTATCCGACGGGTGCTTCAGAATTCCCTGAACGCCAGCCTCGATATACTTCCATCTAATATGTTGAGAGGTTAGCTGGATGCACTAGATGGCTTTAGAACTCAACAAATACTTACGTTGCATCGGCATCGGCTTTGTTGGGAGGGGGCGACATAACTACAAAGGGGGTTCAAGGATAAAACTTGTTTCAGCTGCGATTCGTGTTAAAGAAGGCGTTTTCCAACTTAAGTGAAGGCCTAGAAGTACTTGTTCATAGAAAATAACTACTTCTAGTACTTTAACAAGAAAATACCTTTCAGACCACCGTTTCCAACTAACGTCGTAGCACGCACTCGTCATAAACCAAGCAGGTGGCAAAAGGACCACAAGTGAACATGCACACAGAAGAACATCAGTGTTGCATATTCATCCATTTTACTTTCCTCATCAATCAGCGCACAGCCTCAACCCCGCTTTCCCCGCTTCAACTGCATTCACCCGTCATCACTGCCCCACAACATCGAGAGGAACCGCTTCGGCATTCGAATGTAACCCCACCAGAAAGGCCGGCCCAGACAGTAGAAGTCGGCGTCGATTCCCATGGCTGCCCTTTAATATTATAATCGCGCAAGCAGTAGCACTAGGTAATGAAGGAGGTGGATACAGGATAAACCTTCTAGTCCGAGGGGAACAATGTTCCCCAATACGTTCTATTGACTTTGCTTCCTTGCTACCTGGTAGTATATCCCTTCCGTTAGGAGTATTCTGATATTGGAGACCAGCATAGCCAGCCCGTCGACGTATAGGAATTAAAGCCCAATAGAACGCAGCGGAAGAGCTAGAGGTTGCAGCCACCACGAAACTCAACGAACACTTGATTGGTATTGTTGGTCTGCCGGCACAAGGTAGGCTTTTTGCCACGTCAGTCTTGCTTGCATGATTTCTTGTTAATAATGCTTGGCTCGCCAGGGCGGTGCTTCGGGGCACGTCGTACGTGTCTGTGGCCTTCCGAAAACTTGTAAAATTGCCTTGCTTGTGCGCTTGAATAGCTAGATTAATTCTGCCCTCTTTGAAGAGGGCCTCTTGTTGTTGTGGGGTTGACATTGAGGTTGTAGCTACAAGACGCGTCGGGAGTATGGCAAAGTGGGCAGCTCGCTTGGGTGGGCAGCTCGCTTGTGAACTACGTTAACGTAATCCACAAGTTAGTGGCCCGCACAAGCTAGTGGCCCACCCAACTCAACACGCGACGCGTCGTCCAACAACCACCCCAATGGCAGCACCACAACAACAAGAAGCCATCTTTCAAGAAGGCAGAGTTATTCTAGGCGTTCAAGCCTACAAGACCGGCCAAATTACATCCTTCCGAGGCGTTGAGAAACTATACGATGTGCCCAGAAAGACGGTTACGCGTCGCGCCCGTGGTATTCCTCCACAACGCGGTGCTATCTCCAAAAATC